CTAGGCTTTTATCTATTTATTTATTTTTAAAGATTTATTTATGCACACAAGAACTGGGGTACAGGCCAGAGGTGCAGGGGTTGAGAGGATTCACATTAGACAGAATGGGGAACACAACAGGCAGATTGACTGAAATACACTGCTGAGGGGAGCAGCGGGCGAGACAGAAGAGGTCTGCTGCACCCTGTGGGTTACCTCCCTGGCCAGGGATTGAACTCTTGCTGCAATGGCTGCTGGTAGCTTCATAGTGCTTAACCCTTGTGCCACCAGGGAGACCCCAATCTAGGAGATTTCTAATTCCAATATTGGTGACATGAAGAGATTAATAGGTGACTGCTTAGAAGCAATGTAAAAAACAAGTTTACTATCAGAGAAAATAATCAGAAACAAACATTTCATGTTACTGATACCAAGCGGGAAGACAATAAAAAAAGAATTAGTTCTTCTTGAATAGTAGTAGAGCGATAGCTAGGAAATTGTGTGTCAATTCAGATTTTCCATCACACATGTAGTGAGAATCCTAGAAGGCAAGGCGAGAGTGAAAGAGGTAGGGGAAAAAGAAATTGTGGCTGCTTGAAAAGTTTTCCACATTTGATGAAAACTTGACCTTAAAGATTCAAGAAGCTCAAGGAAAGAGTATGAGACATGTTCATAAAGATGCTGACACACAACACTTCCTCCAACTCTGCCTTAGTCTAGTAGAGAAGGGTATAAGAGGCATACCCTATGATTCTTGGAAGTCTAGATTTGATCTTTGTCTTGAAACCATTTCTGTTTCAAACCCTTGCTGGGTGTAACCAGAGATCAGAAGCAGTTTGATTTTCAAACCCTGCAATTCTTCTAAATTCTGCCTAAAAGTTGAATGGTTCCTTCTTTGGTTCCTCTCTTCTAGCTGCTATAATACATACAAAAAATGAGTTTTTATTTACTTTTGCCTGGAAGCCATCCAAGCCTGATTTGCAAGTTCATTAATTACCCTTTTGACAGTTTCCAAATTTTGTATTGCTGTGTAATAGAGATCTACTCTCCACCCACCACTGTTTTCCTCTATCTTTTAAATTACCACCAGTGGTTTTTCCAAGTCCCTTTCACCTGCACCCATTCCATGATCCAGAATCCAAACTTGGGCCTCCCTGGTGGCAAATGGGTTAAAGTCTCAGCTATCAAGCTATCACCAGTCACTGCAGCATGAGTTTGATCCCTGGCCAGGGAGCTAACCCAAATATAGCACAGCAGACCCCTCCTGTCTTGCCTGCTGCTCCCCTCAGCAGTGTATTTCAGTGGATCTGTGTGTTCTGCTCTCCACTATCTCTGGTGAATCCTCTCACCACCTGCACCTCTGACCTACACCCCAGTTCTTAAATAAATAAATAAATAAATAAATAAATAAAATCCAAAGTCACATTTTAGGTTTTTGTTACAGCATCACCCTATTTCCTGATAACAAATTCTTTTCCAATAGCAAAGCTGTGGCTTTTTTTTTTTCCTTCTAAAAAAATTTTTTTTTTTGTAGCTCATGATTTTATGAAATTAGTGTACCTAATGGACAATTCTGTTCCATGTGGTATCAGTTATGTCATTTATTAGTATTCACCTCAGAGGTGAATCTATGCATCTACAAAGTTCAAGACAGCTACCTTCAGATCCTAATCCTAGGCAGAGGTAGTTGGGACCTTGTCTCTCTGCATGTCTTGGGGTTTCTCCTTTATAGTCACACTAGCAGGTCATTATACTTCTTACAGAGAGACTGTTTTATAAAATAGTACATTGAGTTCCCAGACTGGGAACCAGAAAATGGTACCACTATTTTCTGTTGCATAAGAGTCTGCCCTGATTCAGATGTCAATCATAGACCCCCACCTCTCAGAAGAAAGACATTTGAGGCCATATTTAATCTATAGGTTCCTTCTAAAAATTCCTCAGGAAAATGTTAGCTAAAATATCAATTGTTATAAATAGTCTTAGGGAGATAATTAGAAATCCTTTGGACTTTAAAATGTTAGTTCAAGTTCTGCTATTTACTAGTCTAAACATCGGCAACAAACAACTTCTCTGAGCCTATTTCATTTTATTTGAATCAAAGGGTCTTATTGATCTCCCTTTCTAACATGATTGTTACAAAAAACAATGTAGAAAAATGTATTCTCTAGGCTGTAAAAAAAATTACATATTTTAATTATCAAACTTATGTTTGAGTACTCCCTTGTGCCAACTGTGCTACAATGCTAGGTTCATTTAATGCCTGAGATAGATGTGGATGTTCTCTGCCTCTGAATTTATAGTCATCTCATTAACCTTGAATCTCACATTGATTTGAGTTGAGCTATTTAAGACTGTATATTAGTTGTGAAGAAATAGAAAAAACTAATGAAAATAGAAAAAACTAAATTCAGTTTAAAATGCTGAATATATAATAGTGAGACTGTTAGGAAAGCTTTAGTTAGGGATTATACATTATTTTTAAAATGTGGAATGAAATATTTGATTTTCACACAAGTTATGTTCTTAAATGGATATTGAATAACAATAACAAAGACTTTCAGTAACAAAGATTTTCCTTGTGTAATATCGAAATGATCTTAGAGTTCATTCAACTCCTTTATTTTGTAGATACAGAAATAAACCCACACAAGTTCTTGATGAACCTAGAGATACATGAATAGTTATTGAAGAACCAAAACTAAAATCCAGGTTTCCACTTGGAACCTGGTGATCCCAACCAACCCAGAAACATAATCTGATAAAATTCTCCATACCATTAAAAATGACTTTAAGTGTTTACAATAAAAACCAAGCAGCTAGCTCAAAAAAGATACCCACCATTTTTGAAACACTCCTGGATACCAATAGTGATTTAAGCTTCTAAGTTTTTAAGAACCAAAATTTAAATAACATTTAATTTAAAATACTAAGTATTTTATGGTTTCAGGCCTTATATCCAAGTCTTTAATTCATTTTCAATTAATTTTTGTGTATGCAGTTAGGTAAGGATTTAGTTTCCCTTTTTTGTATGTGGCTGTCCATGTTTCCCAGCATCATTTATTAAAGAGGCTTTGTTTTCTCCTTTGTTTTGCTCACCTGTCTTTCTGTTCAGTGGTCAAGTCTGCTTTTTTAAGCCTTATCGTTGAGTTACTAATTCTAGTTACTACATTTTTCAATCATATTTTCAATCAGGTAGACTTTGATTTTTAATCCCATATATAGGTTGTATAAGAAGTTCTTTGTATCCAGATTTTCTTGAAAATACTTTAAAGTTCTTTCCTACCAGGTTCAGTGTCTATATCTTTGTCTGCTTTTTTGAGTGAATGCCAGATGTGTATAAAATTTTGATGCTCCAGTGATGGTGTATTCTCTATGTAGATGATTTAACCTTCCTCTGTGATGTTAATATAATTGAGAGGAGAACTGAGTTGATGCTAGATGGCAGTTTGGTCATTCTCCTTTGGGAGTAACATTTGATTAAGATTTTTAAAGGAATCTTTATCCCTTCTAAAGGAGTTTGCAGGAATTTTATTCTTACATCTGATTCCTTCAGCATTTGCCAAGTATCTTGAGACAGTGACTAGCATGTGTTTGTTTTGTAACTCTTCTACCAGTAATATTTATCCCTAGACAGGAGTTATAAGAGTTCTTTATATAGTCTGCATATAGGTCTCTCAGTAGATGCATGATTTGCAAATACTTTCTCATTGTCTGTGGGTTTTTACATTCTTGCAATGCATGTTGAGTCCTTGGTTTTAGATATGTCTTTATTCTGTACTCACACTTACTTGACTTAAATTTCTGTTTTTAAAATTCATTGTTCCTCAGAATTTGAAAGAAATTTTACCTTATTTTCAGAAGCCTGATGACATTTAGATTTTTGTTCGTAACTCACCCACCCCCTTTTCTGGAACTCTAGGATATTTACAGTCTTATATTCTTAAATTTCCAAAGCTATTCCTTGGCTGTGGATCTTTTTTTTAATGTTCATTTTCTTGTTGTTTGGTGGTCCCTTTCTATTTGAAAATTCATGATGTTCAGTTCTGAGAGGAAATGTTTTGGTGTGTTTATTTGATAATAGTGAGGGATGTCCCTAATTTCCTGTATAAATATCAAGAAAATAGAAAGTTTCCTGCCAAAGCCAAGTCTAGGAGACTTTTTTATATTAGACCCTGAACCTGGTAACATTATTAGTATCTTAAAGGAATGGCTAGACAACACAAGTAAGAGGGAGGTTTTTTATTTGACCTTCTAAACTTTCAGTTTTATAGATGTGCATATGTTTCGTAGAAATTGGTTTAACCCTACACAATACAAGCAGGCTTAAAATCATGTAATCTTTCTCTAAACTTTTGGTGATAATGAAGTTCAGTGTAATTGAGAGAAGTTAGCTTGATCATTAGTAGTTACAGATTCATTCATAAAACTTGCCCATACTTCCCAATCTTCCTGCATAGAGGTTTCCATAGTTATAAAACATTTCTTTCAGGTATAAAAGATTGAAAAATAAGGTTCTTGTTGCATTGTTGTCTGTCAGTTTTGCTCCCAAAAGCCTGTATAAACCACTTTTTCACACTAATTCCTTCTAGATTTTGTAAGAAAAATGGAGATCTGTAAGACAATCAGTCCATATTATTTCTCAAAACCTTGTATATCAGCAAGATAAGAACATAAGTTCAACAGATAAAATAAAAATGAATGCAAAGTGGTGTTAGAAGTATGCTAGTGTAATCTTTGGGATGGTGTCATGAAAAAGTGGATCTTCTTGGACCTTTGCCAAGTCTGACTTCCTCATCCTCTCTGAGTGATGTGACCAATTCCTCTGTGTGCTGTTGAGCAGAAATTCAGGGACAGTTATTTTAAATTAGAATAAATGTATTTTTACCCTGGTGGAAATATGGAAAGAGGGCCTGGGCATTTTTCGTAATTATGTAATTCCCACTTTGAATAGCAACTTTAACATTTTACTGTTTATTAAATGTTAGCCTGTGTAATTTGAATAATCTTTTGCCCTTTAGCACCTGGCTGCCGTGGAAGAGAGAAAAATTAAGTCTCTGGTAGCTCTCCTTGTTGAGACTCAAATGAAGAAACTGGAGATCAAACTTCGACATTTTGAGGAACTGGAAACTATAATGGACAGAGAAAAAGAAGCTGTAAGTAAGGGGAATTTTATAGTGTCTTTTTAGCAGTTAAACTTTCCTCACCTTTCATAAAGTACAACTTACATAAATAAGTGGTATCCTATTTTATTGGCCTCTGGCTATCTTCTATCCTTTTTTCTGTTTGCCCTTTCAGAAGCATTATCAAATAGCAATGATTAATAAAAGAGTATAAACATTGTGAAAATAATTATGCAACCCCTCCCCCTTGTTACATGGTGGTATCAAATATTTCATCCTGCGGAAGTTGGGTCTTAGACTTCTTTTATTCTCTTGTTACCAATAAAGTAGAATTCATGCAGATCCATTATCTGGACTTTCTTAATTTGTTTCTTGAATAGAAATATCCAAAAGTAGAAGTTAATCTTGATTTAGGAGCCTTGTTTCTGTGATCCCTTTTTATCAAACCTTCTCAGATCCGAACCTTGTGTTCTCACCTCTCTCTTCCCTCCCCTATACAGTAAAGGGCAGGTGGAACTAGGCCTGTGCAGAGCTCCTAAACAGCATTCTCTGGGGCACAAACTATTGATAGAAGGATGTGGCTCAACTAGGATCAAAAGAATTAAGAAAAAGGTGTAAATGGGTGTAGAAACAACAAAAGATCAGAAACATAGGAAGGGTTGGGAAGCAATGGTTATCTCAAGGGTAGTTTTCGAGAAGCAAAGATTGAGCTCTTTGAAGATTTTTTTTTTTTTTTTTTTTTTTTTTTGATGAGTTGACTAGAAACGGAATCAGCTTTCTACACTGACACATTCTGGAATTTGAGGGTTTAATTAAGACTTTCTCCTTGTGATTATTTTGACATTTTGACCTTATATGTCAAAAAAAATTATTTTGACATAGAAGATACTGGTTATTGGGCCTCCCTGGTGGTGCAGCGGGTTGAGCGCAGTGCTGTGGAGCTGTTCACAGCCTCTGCAGCGTGGGTTCAATTCCCAGCCAGCCAGGGAGATTCCCACATGGCATGGCAGACCTGTCCTGCCTCATGCGCTGCTTCCCTCAGCAGTGTCTTCGGTCCATCTGCCTGTTCTCCCCACTCTGTCTCTGGTGAATCCTCTCACCCTCCCGCGCCTTTGGCCTGTACCCCAGTTCTTGTATAAATAAAAATAAATAAATCTTTAAAAAAAAAAAGATGATGATACTGGTTATCTATAAATAATACAGTCTTAATGAACCTTAAAATTAAACCATTCCAGAAGAGTTTTGACTTTTAAGAAATTTGGTAATCTGTTTCTTAGTGGTCCATCAAGCATGCCTTCTTGCAAGTTCCTTTTGAGAGCAACCCATTTTCATTTTGTTCTAAGAACAACTCTGCCACTTAACAAAGGCATTCTCACCCCATGAGGAAGGAGAGGCTGCTTCATCAACTCCTACCCACACCCTGCACTATTATACCCCAGTTCCCTGACCCCAGACGCATCTCTCACACCACCAGCCTCCTTGCCCAGAAGTTGCTGGCCATCCTAGCCTCATCCCCATCACCCTCTGTCCGTCAACCATGCCACACCACCTGGAGCTTTCCTAGGACTATGTTCTTTGTGTAACATGTATGCATAGTACTTCTCTGCCACCAAGTTCCTTTTCCCTATTCTTTGCATATCACCTGTGTCCCTCAGCCATGTACCTGTGGGTAACATGCCCCTCTCCATATGCTGCTGTGCAGCCTAACCGAGAACTTACTGTACTCATCCTCCTATACCAGAGTATATGCTCTTTAAGGGCAAACTTATTCAAGTATCTTTGTTAACACAGAACCAACACATCATAGACCCTTGTTTAAGTGTTGTTTGAATAGACATGTGCCAGTGTCAGTCAGAAGCTGGGAAAGTTGAAAGAAAAGCCTACCCTCAGGGGACTTAGTTTAGTTTAATGGGAGAGACAGTTAAGAAAAGTGACATTGGTGTTCCTCTGGAAACAGAGGAGGAATACTGACGGGCGGGGGCGGGGATATTGAAAACTTTTAGAGGGCAACTGGAGCTTTGAAGAATGAATATCTGCCTTTATCTTACCTAAATGGGCTGAGTTTTAGTCATTTTACAGATTTTTTTTTTCAGGGTGTTTGGGATAATAGGTCTCTGTAATATAATGAAACAGAATTGATGTGATAGCAAGGAGATTTTCAGTAGGCTCTTTTCTCAACTAAGTCACCTTCAGAGGGTGAACCTGCAAATTCCACTCTCTAAAACACTGATGGAATTGGGCCTCTCTGGTGGCACAGGGGTTAAGTCTCAGCGCTATCAAGCTATTTCCACCACACCAGGAGTTCAATCCCCAGCCAGGGAGCTAACCCGCATGGTATAGCAGACCTCTCCTGTCTTGCCCACTGCTCCCCTCAGCAGTATATTTCAGTAGATCCGCCTGTTCTGCTCCCCACTCTATCTCTGATGAATCGTCTTACCCTGACACCTCTGGCCTGCACCCCAGTTCTTGTATGCATAAATAAAAATAAATCTTTTTTTTTTTTAAATCACTGATGAAATTGTCCCCAAATAACAGCCTACAGCCATTTCCCATTCTCCACTGACTCCCAACACCCAAGGGCCATGTGTTCAGTGACTCCATTTTTCCTGGCCTTTCAGAATTTCCCTTGTGCTTTGGATTTTTAGTAATTACTTATCTCAAATAACTCCTGTTTTTCTCACTTGACTCTTTTTTTTTTATGTTAAATTCTAATCAAAGCACATAAAACATTTTCTAGAATAGTCTGAATAGAACAGCACAACTGAGAATGTTGGGGAAATATTCTGCTGTGCGGAACAGTCCCTAGCCACTGAATGAAAGTAACACACCCATAGTATTTATTCCTGTATGAATTTGCCCCAATACTTGGTGACTGAAAACAGAGAAAGCACTATCTCAAACAGATTCTGAGGGTTAGGAATCTGAGTGCTTCAGACTCAGAGTGTCTCATGAGGTTGTAGTTACCTTAAAGTTCACCTGGGGTTGGCGGATATAGCTTTAGGTTTGTGTGATTGTTGGCAGCAAACTTGAGTTCCTTGACATCTGGACCTTTCCGTAGAGTGACTCATAAAATTACTTCCCCCAGAGTGAGTGATTCTAAAGAGCACCCAGAATGAAACTACTGTGTATATCTTTTGTAACTTAAACTTAGAAATCTCGTCCCTGGAGCCTCCCTGGTGGTGCAAGGGGTTAAGTGTCAGCACTATGAAGCTATCCACAGCCTCTGCAGCACAAGTTCGATCCCCAGCCAGGGAGCTAGCCCACATGCGGCAGCAGACCTCTCCTGTCTTGCCCCACTGCTCCCCTCAGCAGTATGTTTTAGTCAGTCAGCCTGTTCTGCTCCACCTCTGTCTCTGGTGAATCCTCTCACCCCCCTGCACATCTGGCCTATACCCCAGCTCTTGTATGCATAAATAAGTAAATTTTTAAAAAATCACATCCCTTTACTTGTGCTATATTCTCTCCATCACACAGACCAGGCTTCAATGGGACAGTGTAAATATTGGGAAGAGAAATCCTTGGACCAACTTGGAGTTTCACTCACAAACAGAAAGAATCCTAGGGACTTCAAAATGTCCACCATTCATTTTTGTGCACATTTAAGACAACCTATTTTTCCCACCCCAGCTTGTGAGTAAGCAAAGCCATGGCTGTGTTCCTACTAATGATTTCTGTACATGACTATGTTGTAAAGATTAAATGATCAGTATGGCATATGCCTGAAACAGTGTAAAGCACATAGTTAATTGTTCAGTATTATACATGCCTCTTTTATGTAAACTGGTTGTCAATAACTATATATTAAATTCTTAATCTCTATAGGCTTTTGTTGACTTTGTAAACATTTATTGGACCAGTCACTGTGCTAAATAAAGCACTTCATATAAATTTTCTCAATCTCTCAAAAACTATATGAAGAAAACTTCAGAAAGAAAAGTCTGGTTACTTTGAATCTCCTCACACAGACTTCCATTTTAAGTAGTATCATTCCAGTAGACCGTATTGAGAAACTGACAACTAAGCAGATACTTCCAGGCACTAGAATCAACCAAGGCAGAAGCCTTTGAGGCAAATGCTTGATTGACATATTTAGGAACTAAGGAGTAGGTCGGTGGACTGGAGAATAAATGGTAACAGGAGGTCGGAGAATGAAGTCACAGCTAGTGGTGACCGAATCACAGAGGTGCCTGTAAGGTATCCAGAGACCTTTCATTTTATTGTGATTAAAGTGTAGAATAGGGGGCTTCCGTGGTGGCACAATGGGTTGAGCGCAGCACTGTGAGGCTGGCCGCAGCCACTGCAGCGCAAGTTCAATCCCTGGCCGGCCAGGGAGCAACCCAATGACACAGCAGACCTCTCCTGACTCGCCTGTTGTTCCCCTCAGCATTGTACTTCAGTCTGTCTGCCTGTTCTGATCCCTGCTCTGTATGTGGAGAATCCTCTCACCTCCCACACCTTGGCCTGTACCCCAGTTCTTGTATGCATAAATGAATAAATCTTTTTTAAAAAAAAAATAAAATGTAGAATAATTACAGGACTTTGAGCAAAGGACTGGTGTGATCTTCCTTAAAGTTTAGCCAATCTGTTATAAAAAGTGTTATGAAGAACGGGGGCCTCCCGAGTGGCGCACGGGGTTAAGATGCAGCCTGTGAAGCTGTCCACAGCTTCTGCAGTATGAGTTCAATCCCCGGGCGGCCAGGGACCAACCCACATGGCGCAGCAGACCTCTCCTGACTTGCCTGCTGCTCCCCTCAGCAGTGTACTTCGGTGGATCTGCCTGTTCTGTTCCCCGCTCTGTCTCCTGTGAATCCTCTCACCATCCCCCACACCTCTGGCCTGTACGCCAGTTCTCGTATGCATAAATAAAATCTTTTAAATAAAAAAGTGTTATGAAGAAGCAAGGTTAGAATAACAGACTTTTGAAGAGGCTGTTCAAATAATCCACATGAGTTGATGGTGGTTTAGACCCGGACGGCAACAATGAAAGTAAAAACTGGTGGGGTTCTGGATAGGTAATGCTGTTAGGATATCCTGACACATAGGATACAAACTTAGAAATTTTCGTTGTATTTGATGACAAATTAAGAAAAAAGAAAAGGCAAAATTAATTTCTTGTTGCCCCAGGGGAGCTGTATTTAACTTTGTTTTTTGCATATTCATAGTAATGCATCTCTGTACTGCCTATCATATAATCAAATCTGTTGTTATGCTTGCAGAATTAATTGGGGTAGTTTCATTTGTTATTAAGAATGCTGTACCCAGGAGCAGGTTTATTTCTGAATTAAAGATGACACATTACCTTAGGCAGCAAACATACTGCAACAAAGACAGAATGAGCACTCATTAATAGTAGTGCCAGCTCCCCCCTTGGGTTTCTGCCTCCAGAAGTACACGTGAAGGGCCTACCTGGTGGCACAAGGGGGTTAAGCACAGTACTCTGAAGCTATCCGCAGCCTCTGCAGCATGAGTTCAATCCCCCGGCCGGCCAGGAAACTCCTCACATGGCAAAACAGACCTCTCCTGTCTTGCCCGCTGCTCCCCTCAGCAGTGTATTTCAGTCAGTCTGCCTGTTGTGTTCCTCAATCTGTCTCCAGTGAATTCTCTCATCCCCCACACCTCTGGTCCTGTACCCCAGTTCTTGTATGCACAAATAAAATCTTTTAAATAAAAAAAAAAAAGTACAGATGAAAGCAGCAAGATGCAGTTGATGGGTTGTTATTTTCACAGGTATAAACAGGAATGGATATGTCTGTTTTAGACTTCACTTTTCTTAAGTGGATATCTCCTCTGGACACCAAACATTTCAAAGAAAGGTGTGATTATTTACTTCATTCCTGAGGCCACGTAGTCAGAGACTTCAAGTCTCAGCTGATTATTTCCATCCTTGGCAGTAGAGATGGATTTTTGTGGCCCTCACCATCTTTTACTTTCCCACCCCCTCCTCACTGCTTCATGCAAATTAAGTGGGAAGAAGAGCTTTGTGTGCAGTCAGCTGTACTTGCAGCTGTGTCTATGTTTGGTAGCTTGGTGTAGAAAAGTGCTGTTGTGTTCAGGTTCCGCTTAGATTCGGCTTCAGTGTAGGAGTGAAGGGAAGAGGGGAAGGCAGGGTTTGAATGCAGTGGAGGGGATGTGTCTTCAGAGCAGGACTGCAGGCCGCTTTGTATGAAGCTGGGTCCCTGAAGCCAGATTGGAGCCATGAAAGAAAGTGACTTGATTCATTAACACCCTATTTAAGAGAGTGATTACCCTGTTCAGTTAAGCTATTGGAACTTTATCATAATTCTAGGAAATATAAAGGGGAGAGAAGAAAATGAAATTGTAGCATAAAACTTGTGCAATTTTTAGTGCTTCCATTTCTTTTAAGATTTATTTTATTTATGCATACAAGAACTGGGGTACAGGCCAGAGGTGCAGGGAGTGAGAGGATCCACCAGAGACAAAGTGGAAAATAAAACAGGCAGACTGACTGAAATACACTGCTGAGGGGAGCAACGGGTGAGACAGGAGAGGTCTGCTGCGTCATGTGGGTCACTTCCCTTACTGGGGATCAAACTCTTGCCACAGTGGCTGTGGATAGTTTCATAGTGCTGTGCCTCGACCCCTTGCACACCAAGGAGGCCCCTCAAGGGTTTTTTTTAATGTCATTAGTATTGTGTTCTAAATACTATTAAACGGCCTTCCCTGGTGGCCCATCGGTTGAGCCCTGGGCTGCGAGGCTGCCCTCAGCCTCTGCAGTGCTGGTTCAATCCCTGGCCACCGGTGAGGGTCCCACATGGCATGACAGACCTCTCCTGCTGCACCCGCTGCTCCCCTCAGCAGTGTACTTTGTCAGTCTGCCTGCTCTGCTCTGCTCTCCGCTCTGCCTCTGGTGAATTCTCTTGCCCTCCCACGCTTCTGACTGTACCCAGTGCTTATATGAATAAAAAAAAAAAAAAAACTTTTTAAAAAATGAATAAATACTGTTAAAACTTTTTTTTTTCAGTGTATTGCAGACATAATTTCATAAAAAATAATACAATACTTAAATGACTGTCTCTATACACAGTCACATACTTTTCTAGGGCACATTTCCAGAGGTAGAATCACTAGGTAGAATTCATTGTATTTGTAACACAATACTAATGACATTGCTTCATTCATTAGTTTTCTGACAGAGCTGGACTTCCAGAGGATTCTCATGCTGTTTACATCCTCCCAACTCCTTTCTCATCTTGCAAACAAAAATTAAACCTGCCCAGACTTTATCCTCTTTAGGTTCCCTCCTGTTGGAACTCTCTTGATACCCCTCAACTTCTTACAAGATCCTTCCTTTCAAAACATCTCCTTCCTCAGGAGACTCCATGCAAGCCAGCTCACCAATACCCAGGACATAAGCTTTATTTGTATTCTCTCCATGTATCCTCCTTCTCTTTACCTGGTCATGCCTCTTTTCTTCTTGCCTTGTCCATGGCCTTGTTTTACCCTCACTCCATGGAAGTCCTCTAGTTCTTACTCCTGAAAACTAGTGATGCTTTTCATTTGGTTCCATGTGGACTTCTCTCCAGGCATATTTCTGCTAAGAGCCCAGATTCTTAGTCTAATTCGCATGCTTATTCCAGCTAGCTTTTGCTAATGATAGTACATAGGTTTTCTCTGCAGAACTGACTGCTCTTTAAAACTCCTAAAATGTTACATTTCTCTCTAACCTTGGTATAGTGCTATCCAATAAAATATCATATGAGCCATGTGTATAATTAAAATTTTTGTAGTAGCCACATTAAAAAAATCAACAGTAAGGGGCATGCCTGGTGGCACAAAGGGTTAAGATGCAGCACTAGGAAGCTATTCACAACCACTGCAGCACAAGTTCGATACCCAGCCAGAGAGGTGACCCCACATGGCAAAGCAGACCTCTCCTTGCTCGCCTGCTGCTGCCCTCAGCAGTGCTTTTCAGTCAGCCAGCCTGTTCTGTTCCTCACTCTGTCTCTGGTGAATCCTCTCACCCCCCACACCTCTGGCCTGTACCCCAGTTCTTGTATGCGTAAATAAATAAATCTTTAAAAAAAAATAGGTAAAATTATGTTTTATTCCAATGTGTGCAAAATGTTATTTCAACATCTGATGAATATGAAAAAATAGTTTTTTATAAGTCTTCAAAATTTATTGTGTACTTTGCATTTACAGATTAGCCACATTTCAAGTGTTCAGGGGCTATTTGTGGTTTGTAGTTGAGGTATTGGACAGCACAAGTCTAGAAAATGCCTCCTATTAAATCAGATATTTTATTGAAAATTGTTGAATGGAACATTACTGAAAGGAAATAGATTTATTAATCATCCTTATTATGTTGCTCCTAAAGATGTGGATTTTTATTTTCCTTCATGTTCAAATTAATTTTTAGGCCTGAATTAAATAAATTTTGATAGCATTTATGGTAGACTCCATTCTCTGAATTACTGTCAGGCATATGGTTTCTGAATTTCCTGGCACATATAATAACTTACTTCTCTGGTTTTAATTTGGGCTCCAGAAAGATTATGTTGAATATTGAAATGCTTATATTCTTCAAGATTCATGCAAAATTTTATTTACACATCTAAAATATATGGGGAATGTGTCACCCAGACTAATTTTGCATACTTGAAAAGTTAAAATTTACAGTGGCATTGCCAAAAGTTCTATGTTGAAAAAATGCATATTTTTGCAACCAAAGCCATGTCCACTCATCCAGAGGATTTAACTCTCTCTCACATTATAAAATAGCAACCAGAAGGCTCACACCTAAAAAGAGCACTTGGGAAGGTTGGGTAGACTTGAAATATTTGCATCTGAGGGACTATTAGAAGGACAGGGTAGACTTGTTCTATCTGGTGAACATTAACGTGATTTTATAAACTATTTTTAAATATCCAAGTGCCTGCCACACAGGGAATTACATGTATACTGAGTGGATTCAGAGAACCATAATCCCATTGGGTAAAGGTTACAAAGAAAGGTGAACTTTACTCAACATAGAGAAAACCTGGACCTCAAAGACAGATGTCTAAATGCAGATATGCTACTCATTAAATGATATTTTATCTTACAATGGATATTGTAGGAGATAAGGTAGATACTTAACTAGGATGAAGTGTAGGGAATCCAGGCATCAGGTAGGTGTCCTGTGTGTTATCCAATCCTGTGAGCCTTTCCTGATGTCATTTTTCTTCCCTTTCCTTTTAGTTAGAACAACAGAGGCAACAGTTGCTTACTGAACGCCAGAACTTCCACATGGAACAGCTGAAATATGCTGAATTGCGAGCCCGGCAGCAAATGGAACAGCAGCAGCACGGACAGAACCCTCAACAGACACACCAGCACTCAGGAGGACCTGGCCTGGCCCCACTTGGACCAGCAGGACACCCAGGCATGATGCCTCATCAGCAGCCCCCTCCCTACCCTCTGATGCACCACCAGATGCCACCACCTCATCCACCCCAGCCAGGTGAGAGGAAGACTCTGCCCACAGGTAAAGCTGGAATCATTCCCATGGCACAGAGTATCAGTAAGCCTAACCACAATATATTTGGTGATTTTTGACTAGGAATGTTCAAAATAGCCATTATCATTCAGGAAATTGTAGGCAAGGAAGGTCTGGCTTTATAGTCTTCACAACATAATGCCTGCCATGTTCTTTGCAGAGTCCACTTTACATGATGTCTGATGCCTTTCTTTGGATAAATTAGCCTCTGAATGGACAGTGCAGCCCAGAATTCCTAAAGTATTCATCCTTAAATTTGTCTGCATTTTTTTAACAAGAAATTTTCAAAGACAGACATATGAGAAATACTGTAATGAGCTCTCATGATCCAACTTCAGCAACCATCACCCTTTCACCCTTTTTTTTTAATGGAATGTTCAACTATAGACAAGAGATAATAGTATAGTAACCCCCGTATATGCCTGTTGCACAGCTTCAAAATCATCAATATTTTCGGCCTCCTCTGGTGGCTCAGCGATTGAGCGCTAGGCTGTGAAGCTACCCTCAGCCTCTGCAGCACCAATTTGATTCCTGGCCGCCAGCAAGGGTCCCACATGGCGCGACAGACCTCTCCTGCCGCGCCCATTGCTCCCCTCAGCAGTGTATTTCGTCACTCTGCCTGTTCTGTTCCCCGCTCTAGCTCTGGTGAATTCTCTCACCCTCCTGCGCTTCTGACTGTATCCAGTGCTTGTGTAAATAAATAAATAAATCTTTCAAAAAGAAAAAATCATCAATATTTTATCTGTTCCTCACTTTGGAGTGAGAGATAGACTCCCCCCACCCACCCAAAGATTGATATATTTATTTGTACAAGCACTGGGTGCAGTCAGAAGTGCGGGAGGTTGAGAGAATTCACCAGAGCCAGAGGGGAGCAGAGCAGGCAGAGTGACGAAGTACACTGCTGAGGGGAGCAGCGGGCGGCAGGAGAGGTCTGCGCGCCATGTGGGACCCTTGCCTGGCTGCCAAGTATCAAACCAGCGCTGCAGAGGCTGCAGACAGCTTTGCAACCCAGCGCTCAGCCACTGCACCACCAGGGAGGCCTGAGAGATAGACTTTTAAATATATCTCTAGGGCCTCCCTCATGGTGCAAAGGTTAAAGTCTCAGCAGTATCAAGCTATCACCAGCCACTGTGGCATGAGTTTGATCCAGCCAGGGAGCTGACCCACATGGCACAGCAGACCTCTCTTGTCTCGCTTGTTGCTCCTCTCAGCAGTGTATTTCAGTAGATCCACTTATTCTTCCCATTGTTTCTGGTGAATACTCTCATACACCACACCTCTGGCCTACACCCCAGTTCTTGTATGCATAAATAAATGAAATAAATAAACGTATCTCTAGCCATTGGGAATCTTCACATTAACCTGTTGTCATGACATCTAACAAGGTACTGTACTTCCTAATATCATTAATTTAGTGTCTTTGAATTCTTGTGTTTGAATCAAGTATTCAAATAAAGTTCACACATTGCATTTCCTGTTAGTCCTCTTAAGTCTCTTTTAAAATTGCTAATTAACAATTCACTTTTTTTTTTTTTATGCTATTCACATGTTGAGAAGCCAGGGTTTTTCCATCTGTGACTATGTCCACTTATATATTCAAGATATCTGGTGTCATTTCACACATCTCAGTCACTTCCTTCCTATATATCTTCCTTGAACCAGAGGATTGCTCTGAGTATTTTATCAAGTTTAGGTTAACTTTCCTGGAGCAGGCATTTTTCTGTAATGTACATTGTTTATCTTTGTGATAGTGGTTCTAATTTTATTCAGTTGATCCATCCATTGCAAAGTTCCCCATTGGACCTTACATCTTCCTAGATCAGTTATTTCTCCAGGCATTGCTAAGTTGAAATTTATTATTCATTCTATATTTATTTATATTTCTCCTGCATTTATTAGCAGTGATTCCTTTTATTAAAATAGAACTTTTTTCCTCTATCATTCAGTAGTGTTCTGAAAAACAATCTTTACATGAAAAAAGTTAAATATGACATCCATTCCCTTTACCAGTTATCTGAATAATAAGTTAATTATCATCCTCTCCCAACCTTATCCCTGTCTCCAGTGATTAAGCAGTAAGCATTTTTCTGTTGTGGATATGTGTTTTTGTATTGTGAATTTATATATTTTTGTGCAGTTTATGTGTTTTAATCTGTTTTGGACATTATTCTTTTGATGCTCAGATTTTCCCATCTTTAGCTCCTGGGAGCCCTTTCAAGTTGGCAACTGTGAAAATCAAACTTAGTTATTTCAAACATAATTACCAATATTATTAAAACCTAAAATATACCTTTATACCATCACTCTGACCTCCCCATCCCTCTCCTTCTTGGAGATCAATATGTATGATGTATGCTGTGCATTATATTGTTCTAGTCACCGCATCTTATAAGATCTTTATAATCACTCAGTAGTAATGTGCCAATTTCCTGACAGAGCCAAAGTCTATGATTTCTGGGGTAGGATGCAAATTTTGCGGCCAAGACATGAAGAGCTGAGCTAAGATAAATATAGAGAGATCCTTGGAACCTGAGATGGTCCCAACGTGATTAATGTCAGTTGGCCTAACATTCTCAAATGACAGATTTTCTACATCTTATTGAAATAACCAGGCATGGATTATAAGGAACCCATGACTAACCAAAGCTTTGTCTTTACAACTTACATTCTCGGCTGAGGTCTTTAATTTACTACCCAAAACGTGTTTCAGGTATTGACTTCACCCAAAAGTGACATAAGATTGACTTTGATTGGTAAGCATTCATTTTCATAAAAACACACAAACAAAAACTACTTAATTACAAAATTAAAACTACTGGGATAAATATTTAGGAGTCAGTTTATTGTGACTGTTTGCTAGTTGATTCTTGTTAAAACATCATCATTCATAGTAACTGGTTACAGAGAACTTCTAAGGAGCTTCAACATTTGCATTTAGTTTAAAAAGATGGACAGAGATACTTGTGCCTTTTCCCCTAAATTACATCTTTGTGAGAACAGTTGCATGCCAGGCCCTTCACCCATATTGTCTCAATTACTTCTTGTTGTCTTCACTTCGTAAAGAACTGATGCATGGCAAGGCGGCATTACCTCTCCGTGTGGTGGGATCAGGATTCATATGGGGGATCCATCTGATTCCGTAGTGATATCACAATGATGCCTCCCATGACAGAGAACTAAGGGGATTTCTAGCAGATATGGGAACAACCATTCTCTTAGGGAGGGTGTTTCACAAAACTAGAGTTCATAAAAATAGTCTTTAGAAGAGAAATAGGTCATTTTTCTTTCTGCTTTCTCACAGAAATAGACTTTCAAGTGAATTTGTAAAGAAAAGGATCACTGTATAAGGAGAGTATTTTTTAAATCTGTGATGAGATTCTCATAATTTTTTATTAAAATGTAATGTACCAATGGAAAATACACAAATCAGAAGTAACTTAGTGGGCTTTAACAAAGAGAATATACTTGTGTAACAAGTATGTGGGGTTTTTTGTTTTTAAAGATTCATTTTTTATTTATTTTTGCATATAAGAACAGGTGTAGGCCAGAGGTGTGGGGATTCACCAGAGACAGAGTGGGGAGCAGAACAGGCAGATCCACTGAGATACACTGCTGAGGGGAGCAGCAGGCAAGATAGGAGAGGTCTGCTGCTCCAAGTGGGCCAGCTCCCAGGCTGGGGACTTGAACTCACGGGGCAGTGGCTGGCAATAACTTGATAGCCCTGAGGCTTTAAACCCTGTGCCACCAGGGAGGCCCCAAGTATGTATTTTAGAAGGCCTCATCATACTCTGTCAGTCTTCTCTCCCAAAGGTAACAACTATGTTGGTTTCTAACACCATAGACTAGTTGGACTGATTTGGTAACAAAGTAGAATTACATAGTGAATTTTATTTATGTCTGAATTATTTTGCCCAAATTGTATGTGACAAGCATCACCTTATGAATGGTTGTAGAGGTATTCTTTGTGTTTGTTCTTAGTGTTCTACTTTGGGACTCAAAGTATTCTCCTGTTTATTAATACTTGATTAGTTTCTAGATTTTAGTTATTATGAACAGTAAACTGCTATGAACATATATGTGCACATGTCTTTTGGTACACATAAATAAACATTTCTGTTGTATGTGTATCCAAGGAATGGAATTTGATACATATCTAGAATGAGTGATAGGTTATGCATACTTTCATATTTGTAAATGTTGCCAAAATTTTCCCAAAGTGGTTGTGTTAGTTTATACTCCTAGCAGTGTTCTAACAGTTCAAGTAATTGTTTTTCATAATCGCCCCATTTGTGGGGTGGATTTGGAATTTGAATATAAAATTAAACCAATTGTGTTAGAATATAAAATTAAAATAATAAAATCCTAGTTAAAAGTTGCCTTAATTTCAGCAGTGCTAGAAAGACAGGTTGTATCAGGTAAGTCAGGTTCATCATATTCTAGAGATCATCTGAAGGGGCCCTTTAAATCAGTATAGGGGAGGAAGTCCATGGTGTTTTAGATAGACAACAGTTCTAATACTTGCTTTGCCAGAGGTATAAGTTAAGAACTATGAGTATGTATGGTCCTTCCAACTAGTATCTCTTGAGCTCTAGAGAAATTAACAGACCACAGCATTTATACTAAGACCTGAAGATAATTATCTTCTGACTAACTTCTGATGTTTGGCCAGAATTTACTGTTTCTGAAGGAAGGGGAAATAAGCTTCTGAAAGCCTGCAAAGTTGGGGAAATGGTAAGGTGAATTACTGGGTGGTTAGTTTGTCTAACTCTCTGACTTGTTAGAGTTTGTATATTTATGTAGATCACATCTAACCTTTTCCTCACAAAACTGGTCTTCCGTTAGTGGTAGAACCCATTCAAATACAGCAAGTCAGTGTCATAAATCTACTAGGCTGTAGGACACGTAACACCTATATATTTAGTTAGTACCTCTGCAGTTCTCTCCCCTTCAAATTCATTCAAGTG